GGGGGGGTGGGGGTGGCGGCCCCGCAGGGAGGGAGGGATGGGGAGGGAGCTGAGGCCCCAAAGTGCAGGCTCGGAGATCAAGGGTCCGCTCCAGAGCCGGGACAAGTCGGGCCCTGAGGGCGCGGCGGCCCGCGGGACCCTGACCCAGCGGCCCGAGGCGGTGTCCCGCTGTCCCGCGCTCCTCGGCGACAGTGGACCCCGGGCCGCAGGCGCCTCCGCATGTGGCAGCGCAATTGGGGTGAGTTTGGGGTCCGGCGCGGGTAGGGCGAGTGGGGCGCGTGGGACTGGGGCCATCCGGAGTCCAGGCCGCAGGGTCAGGTCGGGGAGCATGAGGTGGAAATCGAGGGAGAAACAGGACCCCAGTGAGGCCCTCAGGGGCCGCCAAGGCGGCTGGAGGGTGACGATGTGCCTCCTCTCAGGCCGAGGCGGCGGCCCTCCTCTCCTTGGAGTAACGGGACAAATGGGTCCAGGGACCCAATCGCCTAATGTAAAGCAACCCACTGCACCCTGAAACGAGGTTCAGCCGTGAAAGGGGATGGCGGTCTTGGAGAAGGTGTTTGCAGAATAAGAAAAGCCAAGGACGAGGAAGGACCCAGGTCCCATGGCGGGTATCGATGCAGAAGCATGGATGATCAGAACAAGGGTTTCAGAACCTGGGGTGCAACAGACTACCTCAAATGGAAGCAAGGAACCTTATATTTAATAAGCGATAATCAAGACTTATCCGAATACGAACGGTTATCAAAGAAACGAGACTAAGCGACCAGACAAGGCTAAGCATAAGGAACGCAGCCTTCAGATTTTTACATAATCATAGTAACTTTCAGAATCCAGGGAAAGCAGTGGTCACAATTTTAAATGGATAAAGACCAAGTAACTCCCAATACAGGAACAATGCAATAAGAATATTAATTATATTCAAATCAATAATGGGATAACAAATGATAAAACTCCAGGGAGAAAGTGGCAATAAAAAAGGCAACTAAGCGTAACACAAATAGTAGTAGTGTCGATAAAAGACCATCCCATGTGTTATTAATACATTCCAAACGATTAAAACAGGTATTACTTACCCAACGTTTTAAGAGCAATAGCAATATAAAGACACAGTAACAAGAATTGCCGAAGTAATATGACAATTTATGACCAAGGTATGAATAGTTGCAACATTATAAATAATGGTAGAGTAAGAAGACGTATGTACCAACATGATGAAAAAGAATGTAAGTATTAAGCGCTATGGTACTATTACAAATTATGGCAAAGGAACAATAAGCAATGATGTGATGAAAAAGAACCAGCAAATTAAGATCAGGGATATTACAATAATGACAAGCAACAAGCTATTGTAACGATGTGATGAAGAATTCCTGGCGTGCTATGAACAATCATAGCAAAACAAATTAGGGGGGGAACGAGAAATATTGTTAAGATGTGAAAAATGAACGTGAACCGTAGAGCAACAGTACAAAGTGTGATAAAGAACAATTATTGGAACAGTGGAGCCTAATGGCAAAGTAGAAAAAAGAGCCACCAGCAGAAACATTTTAGGGATATAGAATAAACCTAAAAATAAGGATAAACGGACACGGCCTATTGGAACACTAGAAAGAATAATTACCCAGATATTGGTAAGAGTATTACAAATGACCCAGGAGGTCAGGCATGATGGGGCAGTGACGGGACAGCACCACCACATGTAACAAAAAGAAAAAGAACGCAACAAAACAGACCGGTGCTTTCAACATTCAGTGTTAACACAGATAAAAAATGTGCTATGGAACTGACCAGAGTAAGACTCTGATACCAGCGACAATTAAAATGTTAAAGACTACACACCATGAACAATTTCCTTAGAGCACGAGAAATAGGAGTAGCAATCTATGGGTGGGGAGAAAAACGCTCCTCTTTGGAAAACCGGGCAGCCGAAAGTAAGCGAGCTGAGCGCTCGCCGAGGGAGCCGGCCGGTGGCTAGTGGCCGCAGGCGCGCGGAGGGTCGGCGCGAAGGACCCACGCCCCGCGCCAGTGCAGGCATCGACGCGCTCCGACTCCGGGTAGTGGGTGGCGTGCGGTGCGGGAGAGAGGCGCCGCGGGCCAGCGCATCGCGGAGAAAGGGAAATTGGCGGGAGCTGTGGCATCTGTCGCGACGCGCGTGTGGCCCAGTAAAAGGAGAGGCGAGCCGGAGAAAGAGTGGGAGAGCACCCGTTGGCCTGGGGTCCGAGAGGAAGGGCCGCGGGACAGGGCTGGCTGCTCGTGGTAGGAGGCGGTGCCACTGCGCGCACGACCCCAGGTGTGACAGAGGATCTAGTGATCTAGCCCCCTTTAGGGCCCAGACATCCATCCCGATAGGGGCCCAGGTTCAGTGGGGCCGACTAGGCTGTGTCTCTCTGCAAGACCTAGCGCCAAGGGGCCAAGCATACAGCTTCCCTAGGTGCGCAGGGTCCCCCTGCCTGGGATTCCAAGGCTCTGTCTGGGAGCCCGTGCGGAAGTCTGAGGCTGGCGCTAGCCGTGCCCTGTGAGCCCTGCTCCCTGGCGGCCCTAGGACGATGACCAAGGCTGTCAGTCTTATCTTTATAGGCTTTTCCCAGCCCCGGCTGGCCCTGGCCCCTTTTTATCTCTTCAGTTGCACTTGGCTTGTTTACTTAGGGAGGCCCTGGGAGCTGAAGTCGAGGCCCCTTTGGGGAGAGGGGCCTGGGCCCTGGGGTCTGTAGAGATCCAGGCCAGAAAGAAAGAAGGTATGAGAAGGTGGGGGCAGTCACATACACACCCACCCACCCTTCAAGCTCCAGAGCCAAAAGAACAGTGGGTGGACAGAAGTGCGAAATGCGCAGGTTTGCACCCCTGACAGAGGTAAGGCAGGCATGTCCTTGGGGGCTGGGATTTCAGCCTGTACCACAGGGACAACAGTGGGCAGGAATGAGGTACCAGGGCAGGTTGGGGGTGGGGAATGGACCCCAACACCTGGGAAAGAATAGCTGTGACCAGGCCTGTGAATTGGACTCACCCAACCGCCTGGTCCTTCCTCTCTTGGGAATGCATGGATTCAGCCCTTTGGCCCAAATTGGAGTCCTTTGGAGGGAATCGATGTGTGAGTGGGTGAGCCTGCAGGTAGGAGTGTGAGGGAGAGGCTCCGGAGGCCCTGGGCCTGAGTTGAGTGTCTCTCGGGCTGCCGGGCTGCCCGGGTGACTTGGTGACTCGGAGGCTTCTGTGAGTGTCCAGAGCCTGGGTGTGGGGATGTGAGCACCCATGTGGGAAGGGTGCTTTCCGGCGAGGAAGCGTGCCGGAGGGAAAGTTTTTTGTCCTGGTGTGGCTATCAGAGGGGGTGGGTGTCTTGATCAGAGGGGGCGAGTTCAGGCAGAGGGCCTGCATCCTCCCTGCAGGTGTGCAACCCTGCCACCAGAACCTGGGACCCTGGCTCCTGGCCTGCTCTCCTCTCCTGCCGGCCTCGGTTCGGATCCCAGGTTTTAGGGAGCGGCAGAGAAGCCCCAGGCCTCCGACCCACTGGAGAGCAGCATAAGGGAGGGGCTGGGGCGCAGCAGGGCCCACGCAGAGAGGGCGGTCCTTCCCTTTCCCGACCCACTCCTCACACCCCACCCCAGGGGCAGGCGGACAGAGAGCCGGGAGGGAGGCGGGAGGCGAGGGTCTTGCCCTCCCGGTCGCACCCCCCCCCTCCTGCCCCCAGCTTAGGGTCCACGTGTTCGGGCTCCAGTCCCAGCACGAAGCCCAGGGCTCCAGCTGCTGGCGGGTGCGGGCTGAGGAAGTGACTCGGTGCGTGCTGTGTCCGCAGGAGATGCTGCAGGACAAG